AGAGAGGTGAGGCGACCCGCACGTCGGTAGGGAGCTCGCGATGAGGTGGGCGTGATGGTGGCGCTTGCGGAGCCCACCACAGACAACGTGAGGAGAAATTCTCCTCACATCGTGATTTGCGAGCTACAGCAGATGGCATTGATAAAGCACACCTAACACTCGCAAAGTGACGTCAGATCATCTCGGCCTTGCTTCTGTCCTGCCGTGTGCCACCTGCCTGCCCATGGTGTGGCCTATGGCAAGTACAGGCTTCGGCTGCGCGGCCACCCGCACAGCTGAAGTACGCGCTTGTCATGTATTACGGCCATCCGGTGGACCCGGCCCGCTCACTCACTCAATCATTACCAATTACCAAATTACACACTACCAATGCCGCCCTCCTTTCTCCCTCGAGCAGTGAGCGACCAAAACGGCCCACCATCCATAGGCATATGATAGATAAACCGACACACTCTCTCTCACTCATCCACTCACAGACACACATACACACACACACACATCAATCAATCAATCAATCAACAACCAAGATGAACACCACACCACAAGCACCCCGGCCTCCCACACCAGTGATGATGCCATCACACCGTCAGGTTCACGTCGTCGTCATCATCAGCCTGTTCCTGCGCTGCGGTCTGCTGCTGCTGCTGCCTCCTGCCCCTGGCCTCCCCATCCACCTCCCTTTGGCTCGTCAGCGGCGTCAACTCGCTGACGTCCTCATGGGTCGTACCGCTCGCCGCACTCAGCCGGGGCACCTCCCCGCCCGCCTTGTACCCATTCTCCCGTGTCGTCCCGGGGGCCGGCGCTTCCCTTAGTCTCGTGAAGCCGCCAGGGTTGCCTTTGCTGCCGTCCAGGGCGTCATCGATAAGGTCGCTGTAGTCGACGTCGCCCATCTGGGCGCGTATGCGAGCCTCGCGGCTGAGTGTGCAGGACTGGCAGATGAAGAAGAGGAGGAGAATGAGGCCTATGCCCACACAGGCGAGGATGGCCACGGCGACGAACTGCATCCACGGCCGCTCCTGCCGCTCCAGCTGCTCTTCCTTGTCCTCCTCCGACAGCTCGTCGACAGTGGCGCTGCTACTGCTGCTCGCTGTGGCGTTCTTGGCCGTCTTGTTGTTGCCTGCTGATGTGACCACAGTGTCGTTCTCTGACGGTAATGACGCGTCCTGCGTCTCAGTGGTCACGCTGCTCTCGTTCGTGGCCGCCCCACCGGCAGCAGCGGCCCTCTCCAGCCCGAGCGATAACTGTTGCCTCTTGGAGTCGGTCGAGAGGCTGGCTGCCTCCTTCTGGTCGGCCTCCAGCTTGAGCCTGGCGAGTCTGTTGTGCTGGTCGATGCCGTGGATGATCTGCATGAGCTCGTTCATGACGGTGGCATTGGATGCCATCTGCATGTGGGGGATCTTGGCGAAGGCGCGGATGTCGCACAGCTTCCCGGCCTTGGACTGGGCGTCGGTCCACCTCTGGCAGCCCTCGTTGGTCATCCACTCCTGACTGGAATCGCCGTCAACCTAATCACAAGAAACACAGGGAGGGCCGATCCATCAGCCATGTGTTGTGTCTTGGGTGTGTATGGGTGAACTGGCTGCTTACTGTGATGAATTTGGTGAGGTTGTAGTTGAAGTCGTTTGATATCTCGTCGGACAGCTCCGCACCAACGATGGTCTCCAAACCCTCACTGTACCTGCACCCAAAGACACACACGTAGGTGACGCCTTCTGTGTGTCCTTCTCCCCTCTCTCTCCCTTCCCCTCACCAGCAGTTCAGCGGCACCAGCGGGGGCGTGTCCACCTCAGCGTGTCGATAGACGTCCACCAGCCGCTCCTTCGCCTCATCGTCGTCAATCTCGAGCACATCCTCCATGTCCTTGGCCAGGTACTCTCTCTGCGGCGTCTTCACCAGCACCTGGTCGCCAAACGCGCGAGCAATCGGCAGCTGGTACCAGATGGACGGCCAGTAGCGCATCGACATGGCGATGGCAGGGTTGGGGCCCATTGGGGTCTTGTCGACTACGGAGGCGTCAGCCAGGACACCGGTGAGCGCGGCGACGAAGAGAGCCCCACTGCCTTCCGGCGAGGCGGCGAGGGTGACATATCGATCAATGAGGTCCTGCACAGGGTAGGCCTGGTGGTGCAGGTGGCTGATGAATGCGTGGCTGTAGGGGCCGCCGGAGCTGTGTCCAATGATGACGGCCTTCCGATTGCCATTCGTCGCCACCGCCCGCTCGACCAACTCCTTCATCTGAACGAAAGGAAAGGCATGCGTATGCAGCCGTCTCCCTGTATGCGTGTTCGCGCTCACCAGCTGCACCCATGGCTTAGGCGTGTCCCCCTTGGTCGTCAGCACAGCATCTCCCGGCGCCCTCAGCCAGTCATAGCAGGCCACGAATAGGTCCTTGCCCGGCTCGTAGCCAGCCTCAATCAACCGCCACACGACGTATGGCTCCTCGTTGTAGACATGCGCACAAGTCACCGAGCCGAAGTTGACGATAGACGTCGAAACATTGACATACACCTCACCGCCCGCCTCATCCTTCAGGTGCCGCGATGGCTCGTCAACGGCGAGGCGCAAAAGACCTGCAGCGCACTCCCACGGCAGCTCAGAGGGCAGTGGATTGCCGGCGACGGGATCGAACACGAACTGAAAGGTCATCCTCTCATTGGCCGTGAGTAGCGAGATGCACCTTGCCGGTAGCACGTCAACATCGTCGCCTGGGCCACTGTCAATCCCCAGCAGGTCCCACAGGTCCTTCAGGCCGCGCAGACGCCCAGAACGGGAGACTGTGGATGGTGCGGGCGGCGTGGTCTCCAGAACGACGTCCATCTGCAGATTCGACAGGGGCCAGCCGGGGACGAAAATAATCGGTGGCCTGTCACCGCCGAGCGCCTCGTGTGCAGTGGCCAAGCGGCTCCATTGCGAGAGCAGGGCAGAGAAAAGGGCGAGGAGGGGCATCCCAGGGGTCGCCTTGATGAATTGCATGATGATCAAGGAAGAGATCCAGGCCACTGACTGAAGCGGGCGGCAGATCAACACACGGCAGAGCAACACGCGGCTGTCCGTTCGTGGCTTCGACGACTCATATGCTGAACACCATTCAGTTGGAGAATCCTGCGTTGAATTCGACGATGTCGGTGAAGATCTTCGTTTGTTGCGGCCGCGCGGGTTCGTCACGCCTCAAAACATGCAAATCGACACCTGCTCAAAGCTCTTGGAGAGGTGCGCGCTACAAGCTCGCGGTGAAGTGGAGAAAGGACTTCTCCCGAGGTGCAAATCGCCATTCAGCAGAGCTCTCGTGAAGGAGAAACGACCAACGTCTGATATTCGTCTCTTATCGTCACCTTATTGTCGTCATTATGCCGGTGCTGTCGAAGACCGGTCATCTGCAGCTCTACACAGGCCGCCCCAGCTGCATGGGCAGCATCCTCATGGGCAGGGGACCGCCCAAAGCCCAGCAGACCCATCTCACCAACCGCTCGTCAGTCCCGATGGTCGTCCTCGGCGCCACCGGTGCCCAGGAGGCCCTGCATGCGGCCCAGCAGACCGTCCAAGCGATGAAGACGGCGTCAGCAGAGCGGCTTGCAAAGCGGACGGCCGTCAAGGAGCGCACCCGGCAGTCGCTGAAGGACAAAGAGAGGGCCGAGTACACGCGGCTCATCGAGAGCAACCCCAAGCTGCTCGGCGGCCTCTCTGCCGGCCGTCCCTCTGCCGCTCGCAAAACACGACAGAACAACAAATCCACTGGTGTGGCTGTCAATGGTGCTGTGGTGGGTACTCGTGCTGTTAGGCGCGAGTTGCCCGTCGATACCGCTGTGCCTGAGTCGTCATCTGCTCGTGTGTCGCCGTCTGCTGCCCTCCCCCTCCCCCCCTCGCCCCAGCAGGCGGTCGACCACACCGCCGGCAGCACCGGAGGACGCAAGGAGGCCGGCAAGGCAGCAGGGGGATCGGATGGCTCACGTGGGTGTGGTGACAGTGGACGAGGCGCTATCGATGGTGTGGTGGGCAATAAGGAGGGTCTCTCTGCCGGCGTGTTCGTGGGGCAGCCTGCTGTCGTCGTGTCCCTTCCCCTCCCCTCCCCAAGCACAACGACGTGGCCGGCCTGCCGACGGACGTCCACAAGGCCACGGCTGGTGAGCAGCAGGATGGCGGTGTGTGTGGTGGCGGTGAGGGTGCAGCTGGCGTGTCGTCGTCCTATGTGCGTGGGGATGGCTATGAGTTGAGGAGTGAGGGCTTCAGCCGCCTGAAGACAGTTCGTCCGTGTCAGGCGGCCGCGGCCTACATGAGCCGCGCCAATGCCGCCATCGGCCAGTGGGCGCCCAAGGCCGTCAAGGTGCAGCGGGGAGGAGCCGACGAGAAGTGAACAAGACCTACAGACTAGGCAGACCGACAAAGAAGGGAATGCGATTGGCTGGCTGCGTGGCTGATGGAGGGATGTGACGGGTGGAAGGGACGTGTGTGTGTGGTTGGACCTGCGTGTTTGCCTGCGTTTGATGTTGCCAATCGATGGTATATAGTACTCTTCCTCTTGCTCTTCTCTCTCTACCTGTCAGTGCATCCATCCATCCATTCATTCATTCATTCATTCATTTGTGAGACCATGAGTAGCCCCCGTGTACAGACAAAGACGGATAGAAAGAGTGGCGTGGGGCATTCATACAGCTTATTTGTGAGTGTGGTGACCGTGTTCGCAGACTCGGATACATTCATGAATGAATCACTCGTGTGAATCAATCGTGCATCACACCATGTCCACTCAACGGCCATCTCTGACCATCAACGCATGCATCCCAACAAATATCCGTGTGGTTGTTTGCGTAACAAAGTAACCGAGAGAGAAAACAGTCTTCGTGGCCATCTTAATTGTGGCTGTCTGGCTGACTGACTGGCTGTCCAGTGCTAACTTGATAGAGTGAGCTATGCAACGTGACGACAAACGTATGTCTATGTACATGATGCAGTACATGTAATGTACAGCAGCAGTGTGTACATCCGGACACATGTGTCTCATTGCATCATCGACCCCCTATCTACCGACACGAGACGAGGCGCATCACAGCAGACATGCAAGAAAGGACGACCAGCCCTATCACCTATTGATGAGACAAGGAAACGTCTGGGTCACTGGTCGTGGATCCATGTACGAGTGTAGTTGATGAATTCACGGCTTGCTGCTAGAAGCATATGATACACAAAGCGGGCAAGCCATCGCGCAGCAGCGCGTGCTGTCAATAGTCCTGCGACTGCCTATGCACCTTCCTCTCTCCTGCCTACCTACGGCTACGACACTGGCGATCGATACATGCGATAAAGGAAGTGACATATCAACCTACCAATCGACTATGCCTCCCTACTCTCAATTTCACAGACGCAGTCAGCCGAATGCTGTCTTGCCAACAAATACGCCACTGGTGTGCACATCGAGCGGTGGCTGTAGAGGGCAGACGGAGACGCAGAAGCGAACGAATGACGCTCATCATCGTTTGTGTCTCATACATCGCGTACCTTGCCGCAAGTCACACAGGCGTGTGTAACTCAGTGCATAACGTACAAAAACCGTCTCACGGCCGGATGTGCCCCCCGCCCTTGGCCGATGAGTCTGCCGTGGGTGGCTCGCTTATCCACGTCCTCGACTTCTTTGCTCTGCCCCGCCGCTGCCCTGTTGTATCGCCTTGTGTAACGGCCGAGGCCTCAGAAGAGAGACGGTAAGACGTCTCAGCGCCATCTCACTCGGCTTGCAGCTTGCATCCCCATCAGTCGGCGGCTCTGAAGAAGAGAAGAAAAGGATAAGACGACCCGTGTCCTCATGGTTGTGTCCTTTCTTCCAGCGTACTACAATCGATCAGAACAGGGCAGAGCTGCTTCACTTCTTCTCCCTCAACCTTGGGGTCGATGTCGACAAACAACGGAACGGTCCGCACAATGAACCCATCGCCGCCATTGGTCTCATTCTTAATGCGCTCGCGGTCGTTACATGAACAGGTGAGGAAATCGACCGGCGATTCAAGCTTCAGCGTGGTGCCATCGTTGGTCACAACTTCGGCAGTAGAACTTGAAGAAAGAAGACAAGCACACAGACACGATAAACTTCATGTGGAATCCTCTCTCCAATTGTGTTACTTGAGTTGCTTTTGGGTGAGCTCGATGCCTGGTGCGTCGGCGGTCACCTTGAAGGGCTCGCGAGGGAGGCATTGGATTTGGACAGCAGTAGAGTCTGAATCAGAAGGCACTGCAAGCACAAGCGGGTACACGTGTCGAGAGATCCATGTATGATGCACCTATTTTCTGGATTCCACACACTTCCCACAGAGTCCCCTCAATCCTTGATCTAAAGTTCCTTTGCTCCCTTCCTCCTTCTGATTGCTCCTCGTACACACGGAACCACCCAAAAGTGTCGACGTCCATCTTATCGCTCTCAGCCTCCGATTCAGCAACCTCCACAAGAGGAATCGATGTTCGTGGCTTGGGGTTGCCGTCTTCGAGAACGAAGGCTCTCTTCCTGTACGTGAGCTTCTGCGTCAGATCGAAGCACTCCTTCGGGATGTCCTCGGAGCTGGGATACAGGCCTTGAACCATTACATACTCCATTTCTCCCGGTGACGCGGTGCTCGTCCACAATATCTCAGGGACCGCTGGAAAGCGTGTGACGGTGGGGAGGTACTTGCCATTAAGGGGCTCTTCGTCAGGGCTCAGTTGAAAAACAAGGCCGCCAACAAGAGTGCCTGCATGAACCGAATATCCCAAGTCTCCGAGTGGCTGAGCATCTCTCGGTCTCTCTCGACGTCCGTCCGTCTGTCTGTCTGTCTGTCTATCTTTCTTTCTTTCTGTCGCTCTGTCTGCCGTGTATATGTGTGTGCGCACCTTCAACAAACATCAACGTGCCATTGCACTCTTCGGGCAAGACCTGCCTCACTGCGCCCTTAAAGTCCACATTCGCAACGTCCACGGTCGCCAGCTCCCCTGTCGTGTTGTCTATGATGTTGACAACGCGTCCGTCTAGCTCCGCAACGTCGTATCTGATCCGCACTTGCAAACCAACCCCTTCCTCGTCTGGGTCTTCCTCGTCCGGGTCGCAAGTGAAAAGGGCTCGGAAGTCCTCATCGATCAGCTCCAGGCAGTAGCTGACATTTGCGCCATTGGTCGTCTCGCTCAGGCGGTCCGTCAGAAGATAGCTCGACGGCTGGGCTGTAGGGGGTGTGGTCGTCAAGTTGACCTGAGGACATGCCTCAACTGAAATAAAGAGAAGGGAAGCAAACATCAAAAAACGAAAATAGTTAAGAGCGAGGGTTCATGAAAGCCTTACAACAGGTGTATCCGATGAAGCATATGTCTGCCTCCTCCATTATTTGATCTGTAAGATTTCTTCCCCCTCCACCAGAACACCCCGCCGTCTCACTGCCGTTTCCTGGCCGCAGCAGGATGGAAACGTTCACGCTCTGCTCCCTGTCCTCCATTATCCCCATACAACTATGCAGCCTTCTTTTGTCCCCTCTTTGTCTGGTTGTGACGCACGTATTGCCTCCGAGGTCTCCAGCGTCGGGTGCGAGGGCGATACCCACAGTCTCGCCAATACCCCGGCCGGAGATCTGATTAAAGAGAAAGGGTGACCCTCCTCCAGGGTCCACACCGACAGGGAGGTCTTGCAGCCTTTGCCCACGGCAATTAGTCAACACTTCGAGACACATCAGCAACAAGACAGGCACTGATGGCCGTGTGCTGTCTGACTGCCTGGTTCATGTACCTTGTCTCCCATCGATCAGCTTTCCCAGCTGGCCCTTCACACAGGGGCAGCACAGAGACGGACAGATGTACGGGTGTTGTGTGAAATGGTGTACCTTGATGATGAAGTCAAGCTGGGTGCCTGTCTCCGTATCGAAGAGCTCAAAGGATCGAGGCGCCTCTGGTAGGGCCTTAGTGCAGAGAGCTAACGCCGGGAGTGGCAACCCATCAAATCGATCGTCGCCGGAGCACACTGTGGTATCGAGGGTCGTGCTCGCAAAGAAAGAGTCCCCAAGAAAGAAGCTGCTGAACGACAGGTCTGGTGACTTTCCGGGCTCGTAGATGGGAAAGAAAATGGTCGGCAGGACTTCTCCAAGCAGCGCACGGCCCAGGTCCTTCCCGAGAAAGACGAGTTCGCTGTCCTCTGTGTCTCTGTTTCCGACCGCCTCATCGTCATCTCTGCTTTGCTCCGCCCGCACGCAGAAATTGCTGCAGTCCAAGAACGCTGTTCGATTGGCTTTGGCATCCTCATTCAACTCCAACGGCCTCTAAGAACACACAGAGAGAGACACGGGCATTCGTCATTGCTGGACGGGGAGAGAGTGAGCCACTGGCCCAAGCCTGCACCTTGCGGATGGTATTGCCGCTCTCCACGTCTCGCCCAAAACCTGAGGCAGCCAGCCCGATAATGCCGCCCGCCTCGGTCTGGCCCGACGTCACTGTGAACACTCGCTGGTTGAGCAGGGCATCACATTCGTCAGGCACGTCATCGGGGAACGTCAGGAGGCCGAGACTCGTGTTGGCCGCGGGCGAGAGAATGCCGATCAAGCGTGCAGTGACGAGGTCGTCCTGCTCCTCGTTGCCGAAGATCAGAATCCGCTGAGTCTGGTTGTACTCGAATTGTTGGGCAATGAGAGACTCCGACTCGTCCACGAAGCCCGTCAGGGCGACCTCGATCTGCGCCTCGATTCCCTCGCATGCCGGATTGCTGGCCTGCTCGACCTGCAGCACGCCCTGGATGGTGGCAACTGCAGGCTGGAGGGCGTTGCCGGCTCGATTGGAGCAGAGGCCGGTCTCGGGGCAGGTGAACTGGAGGGTGACACTGACGCCCTCTGTCGTGTTGCATGACAGGTCGAGGAAAAAATCATCAAGCCCATTGCTGTCGTTCTTCTTGCCCTGAATCCTCATGCAGCTCGGCACATTGCCAGTGCCCACGTTGTCAATGGTCGGCAGATAGGCACCCGAGCGCACGTCTTCGAAGAGATAAGTGCCGGGCACCAGCTGGGCGAACGTCGCCTCTTGTGGGTCGGTGGGCGGGTCATTCGGCAGCAGCCTCTGCTGTCGTGGATCGGGCCCAATGTCTTCCCTTCTCTCGACGACGGGCAGGCTGCCCGCACAGTCGAAGGGCACGGCGAAGCGGTTGACTGCATTGAAGCACGGATCCAGCTCGGCCGGGAAACACAGAGACGATGGCTGGCCGCTGGCGACGCCCAGCACGAGGCTGACATCGCCGCGCGAGAAGCTGGCCACGTCACCGAACAAACCCACTTCCTCCTCGATGCAGTAGCAGAACCGTGAGTCGCTCGTGCGGGCACAGATGGGCTTGTCCGACGGGCAACTGACAGACAGGAGCACGAAATTACGGTGCCATACTCATTGAGCAGTTCCTACCTTCCCAGTGCCGCAGTGCCCAGATCGGTGATGTTTGTGCCAGTGACGCCGCTCGGCTCGCCACAGATAATGGACTGGTTGCCGCTGGTCGCAGTGACATTGCCGAAAGTATCCGAGTCCTCATTGTTCAGCGCATACTCCTGTTGCTCCTTGAGGTCTTCCTGGGCGATATCTTCATAGAAGCACTGGCCGAAGTTGCCCAGGTCGGGGTTGTCGACGATGGGCAGCAGCGCATTTGCCTCACAACTCGAATAGAAGATCTCATCGCCATCTTCGCCAGGAATCACGACTGAAGAAAGGAAAGGCATTCGCATCCACTTGTTGTTCACGTGCCCCCTGTTGTGCTTACCCGCCTGGCAGTCTGCGTTTGTTTCGGTCGGCCGTCCGTCGTCGGTCTCTCTCGTGTTGCCGGTCAGACAGGCCGTCGTGAACTGAGCCACAGCACCCCTCCTCTCCCATTGACCCAGCAAGATGACCAACACAGCCGCAGGAAGCCACGCGAGCATACAGAGAATACACAAACCACAGCGGTACAAGAGCCGCAACGGTCGAGAAGAGTGTTTACACAGTGTACGGGTGCGACAAGCGGCCGTAATCATGAGGTTCCTTCGGTTCGTCGTTGCCCTTGTGGCTCTCCTCGCAGCATCCCCTGTATTCGGGCAGGTGCGCAAGCAGCAAGCACACGCAATCGCAACAGAGTGCCCACAACAGCCAGTGCTCACCAGATGAACCTCCCTGGACATGTGTGTGTATGTGTGCAGCGCTGTCCTCCTCTCCCGGATTGTATGTGTGATGCCAACCTACTATGCTGCTGCGACGACGATTGTGGACAGTTGTCGGGACGCGACAGGACCGTGTGTTTGTCGGATTGTGACCGGGGCTGCTAGTCCTTTCTCACACACGTGCTGATCTTTCCCAGACAGTGAGCCAAGCTGCGGGCAGGCATTGAGGTGATAATGTCTGGGTAATTAGTCGTTAATCGTCTTGCATCGTGCTGCGTCGATGGCGTCGTCACTTGTTGACTTACTTTTTCGGTTTGTATACACGCGTAAGGTGCGAGGGAGGGATGGCCTGACTGAATCCACACACCATGCGAAGAAAATGCACGGACCCTCATCGCAATCGGGATTCTGCATTGCTAGCTGGGTACGTGCCGTGCCGCCTGTGGGCGCCGCGATCCTCTTTCGGTGTTCCTGAATCGGGTGTGTGTCTGGGTGTTACGTGCCTGTGGTGCTTGCTGGTTTGTATCGGAGTCTTACCGTGTACATTTCTCGTGCGGACGAGTTGGTGGTTGATCATCTGTCAATTCATGCCTCGCCTCCAGCGACGCCATGCACAAAATGCGCAGCATGGGAAAGATTCTCACACATATCCAGCACCAAATGAGGCGCAGAGCAGGCCGAGGTTTCAGCCCACAAACACAGCATGCATCGATAGCAATACGGAGGTCGACTGCTCACTTGCTTTGCCAACAAATACGCCATTGCTGTGCTCGTCCGTACACACATATACATGTAGCCGAGCAGCGAGAAGACACACACACACACAAAGAGAGAGCCGACGTGCGTTTGATGCATACATCAGGCTACAAAGGTGCTGTGTGATTCGCTTTGCATACCCTGCTGCAGGTCACACATGCGTGTGTGGCTGACGTACGTGCCGCAGAGAATGCGATCACAGGAAAAACACAAAGCTCTCGCCTGACGAAAGGCCCCTTTCAGGTATGGCCGACGGGTTGACGGTGTGTCTCACGAGCTTCCTCTATCCATGTGAGTCCACCTGTCCACCCGGCCACAGCCAGTCAGGGACGAGTCTTGACAAGAGACAGCGCATCGCGACTCGACACCGATGACATCTCCTGGTCAATCGCATCGCAGCCCGCCGTGTCTGTCCCAGTTGGCGGCTCTGATAGAGAAAACCGAATCGAATCGATTGAGACATCCCATTGTCTTTCTCTCTTGCCGCCGTACCGCATCTGATAAGCACAGGGCAGAGCTGCTCCACCTCTTCTTCCTCAACACCAGTGTCGACAAACAACGGAACCGTCCGCACAATGAACCCGTCGCCGCCATTGGTCTCATTCTTGATGCGCTCGAGGTCGTCGCATGAGCAGTTGAGCCTGTAGCCGGCCGGCGATTGGAGCCTGGGCGTGCTACCATCGTTTGTCACAACTTGGGCAATAGAACTTGAAGACACACATCAACACAGTAAAGGCCCTGTGGATTTCTTCTCCCTTTAAATCGTGTGTTACTCGATTTGCTCTCTTGTAAGCCTCAGGCCAGGCTCGCCAGCGGTCACCTCGAAGGGCT